AACAGTGAGAGGCCCGCGTACCGCAAAAAAAAAAAAAGAAAAAAAAAGAACGAATTACTTGGTGGGACTTCCCTGGTGGCACAGTGGTTAAGAATCTGCTTGCCAATGCAGAAGACACGCGTTTGAGCCCTGGTCCGGGAAGATCCCACAAGCCATGGAGCAACTAAGCCCGTGCGCCTGCAGTCTAGAGCCCTCGAGCCACAACTATTGAGCCAGAGTGCCACAACTACTGAAGCCCATGCACCTAGAGCCCACGCTCCGCAACAAGCTACCGCAATGAGAAGCCCGCGCACTACAATGAAAGAGAAAGCCTGTGCTCAGCAACTAAGAGCCAAAGCAGCCAATAAATAAATGAATAAAAAGAATGAATTACTTGGTACTAATTTACCATACTTATGGTATTACATTATAAATGCTTTATGCCTATAAACTGAACAGCTTTCCCTTTATTGGCTTTAGAAATATAGACAGGAAAATAAAAACTCACTCCATCTAACCCTCAACAGAAATTTTCCCACTCTAACTCCAAAGGAATTATTTTAAGAATTAAAAAATTATAAATTGGACTTCCCTCGTGGCGCAGTGGTTAAGAATCTGCCTGCCAATGCAGGGGACACAGGTTTGAGCCCTGGTCTGGGAAGATCCCACATGCTGCAGAGCAACTAAGCCCGTGTGCCACAACTACTGAGTCTGTGCTCTAGAGCCTGCAAGCCACAACTACTGAGCCCATGTGCCACAACTAGTGAACCCGCACGCCTAGAGCCTGTGCTCCACAACAAGAGAAGCCCACGCACCGCAACAAAAGAGTAGCCCCCTCTCGCCGCAACTAGAGAAAGCCCGTGCGCAGCAATGAAGACCCAACGCAGCCAAAAATAAATAAATTTTAAAAAATTATAAATCAACAGCTATCAAATATTAAGCATTTTTAATGTACCAGATACTGTGCTGCACAGTTTAACATCTCATTGAATACTCACCAACAGCCCTATAGAGGAGTTTCTATCTTATATGCAGGAAAAGTGAGGCTCAGAGAGGTAAAGAAACTTGTCCAGATCATACTGCTCATACACAGCCAAGAGGACACTTAAGCTCCGGTCTGCCTGATTCTAAAGCCAGGGCTTCTGCCTGAACATCTGACATCTCAAAGATCTCTTGGTAAAACCAAGTATTTGTGGTAACAACACTTCGCAAAGAGGACAATGACTTGGAATCAAGCACTGGGAGACTGAGTGGAGAGAAGGATGACAATAAACCCAAACAACTTGCCATCTGATAGGTAAACAGGATTTTAGAATATGCCTTTCAACACCTTTACAGATCCTGTTATAAGTGAAACTAGCTAGCTTTTATACACTTTCTTCCCCATTTTAAGGCTTAAAATATCCTTAGAAATTTACACAGAGATGCCAAGCTTAAATCCTATAAGACTCAAAGATTAGAATTCTAAATCCCCTGACTGGAACCTAATAAAGAATATTTAATTTTGTAGCTTAATCAATTTTTAGCAGGTACCATTTCAGCAATATCAATTCTTGCTAATTCCAAGTTCCAATCTAATTCTCAGGATTGATGCTACTTTTAGGTTAAGCACTCAAAAGGCCTTTTGCAGTTAAAAATGTAAGATCAGTGTTACTCTCCACTTTACTGTCAATAGCAAATGAAAAACTGGAACCCCACAAAGATAATTTAGCAAAGTGAGAAACCAAATACATTCAAGATATGGTACAATCAACCCCTGATAATTTGGAATTTTGTTTTGACTTGCTTTCTGAGCAACAATGCAGTCCCTGGTTCTCTCCTCTGCTGCAGGGGACATGCCTTTATAGGCTGGGGAAATAAAGCAGTTGTTCAGTATTACTTCCTGACAACCGTACTGGTTATCACACACAACTACAAAATAAACTTACGGGGAATGTATAATTATTAAAACCCAAGTTCTTGGTTTTTGGTTTTTTTTTTTTAATGAGAAGACCCTTCTTTTTTTAAATTAATTAATTAATTTGTTTTTATTTATTTTATTTTTGGCTGCGTTGGGTCTTCGTTTCTGCACATGGGCTTTCTCTAGTTGCAGTGAGCAGGGGCTACCTTCCTTGCAGTGTGCAGGATTCTCATTGCGGTGGCTTCTCTTGCTCTGGAGCACAGGCTCTAGGCGTGTGGGCTTCAGTAGTTATGGCTCGCAGGCTCTAGAGTGCAGGCTCAGTAGTTGTGGCCCAAAGACTTAGTTGCTCCACGGCATGTGGGATCTTCCCGGGCCAGGGCTCGAACCCATGTCCCCTGCATTGGCAGGTGGATTCTTAGCCACTGCAGGGAAGCCCCTTGACTCTATATTTCAAACCTGCCATTCCTTTCACCTGTGACCCAAGTTGCTTAGAGTTGAGACATCTTATCTAGCTAAGGTGTTTTAGACTAGAGAGAAGTTGCCTTACAAAAGTACCAAACAGGGACTTCCCTGGTGGCGCAGTGACACGGTTTCGAGCCCTGGGCCGGGAAGATCCCACATGCCACAGAGCAACTAAGCCCATGCGCCACAACTACGGAGCCTGCACTCTAGAGCCCTAGAGCCACAACTACTGAGCCTGTGTGCCACAACTACTGAAGCCCACGTGCCTAGAGCCCGTGCTCTGCAACAAGAGAAGCCACCGCAGTGAGTAGCCCACGCACTGCAATGAAGAGCAGCCCTCACTCGCCGCAACCACAGAAAGCCCACGCGCAGCAACGAAGACCCAACGCAGCCAAAAATAAATATATTAAATAAAATAAATTAAAAAACAAAAAGCACCAAACAAAGCAATACAAGACCAGCTTTCCATAGGTGGTAATCGTCTATAATGCTTAAGCTTCTATCTGAACATAAACAAACAGCACTGAGACATGTACTGATGTGAACATAATTCAAAAGTCAAAATTATCATTGAAGAATATCTGGTCAACTATCCTATCACCTTGCTAAATTTCAAAGATTCCAATAACTGATAACTTTCGACCTAATGAAGTTAAAATAACATTAACTATCTGGAATAGGAAAGCTTTGGCACAGATCACACCACTACATGTCTAGTCCTCTGTGAAGTTTCCTGACTCACCTGTGACACCGCCTCAAAGAACACACAAATTCACCGACAGGTTCTAAAAACTACTTTTTGGCAGTCTGAGCAGTATTTCCTACGTACTCTTACATGAAGATGAAGTGGAAAATTCTGAGAAGGTAAGATATAGAAGGTGCTTAATAGTAAAAGCACTTTTTATGAGGAAGCTTAGGAGATGTATCATGCCAGCTACTATTCTCTTATACAAGTTTTTGGAGTACATCTGGGTAAATGGCTAACAGTGTCCTCGTCTTTTGATATTCTGATAAATAAATGGCATCTTAAAAGAGAATTTTACTTTTGATCAACTTCTATTGTTCAAGGTACTCCAACTGTCAAAATTTGATATCCACCGAAAGTCTAACTCGAACACCTCTAGTCACCAGAACAGCTGGTAAATTTGTCAAAAGGCAGAATTAAAAAATAATAATAAAAAAAAATCCCCAGGCTCTGTATAATATGACTAACACTGTAGTTCCAAACCAACTAAAATTCCTTGGAGCTGCCTTAATCTGAACTACTCTGTTTAAGAGTTTTCCTGGGTACTTCCAAATGCTTTTTGAAACTAGGAAGGAAAAAAAAATCCTAGTTATTAAATTTCGAGATGACTGAAGTACAAATTTGATGTCTAGAAACCTACCCCAAAAGCATTAACTTTACATGTAATCCAACATCTATTTCTTTTTTATTAGTAAATAAAGTATTCTCTGAAGTAACAGGTGGCTCCACCTCCCCCAACTTCCATGTCCCCAACTTTCATGAATGATACTGGGTACACTCCCGCACCCAAACAAGCTTTTATTTGAGCCATTCCCAAACCAAGGTATTAAAAGATCATTCTTCACCAAACAAAGATACTTTTAGGATTGAAACCCAGGAGACTGGACACCTCAGTAGGTACTATTGTGGTGTTATCCTGGGAAAGTAATCCTTTCTGTAAATCACACAAAGGCCAAGTGTGCCCTTGACAAACAACAAGATGTTTATAGCCTATCTTCTAAATTCTGTATGAGGTAACTTGTGGCTAAAAAGAAATAATCTAGGGCGGGTTCCTGGAATTGAACACCATAAGCTTTTCCTTCACTAGTCAGGGATCTTTCTTTTAAACAAGGTGCCTCAATTACATATAGCCTGTGTATGACCAGAATCAGAACGAAGCTAAATGCGATTCCTTCTCCAAGTCTGGAGAAACCAGGGAGAATAACATTTTCTGCCAGTAGGCACGTAGCACTTGTCAACAAGGCACTCTGATCTAAGAAAGGATAAATACAATGCTATGATGTGTATGTTCTGGTTGGTCTCCCCCGACCCCGGGGTGAATCGAACTATTCCAGGGCTCCAGCTGCCAAATCCCAGCCTCACACCCGTAAAGGGATGGGAATCGCCCCTCTCTCGGCTTTCCGATCATACCAAGCCCGCTGGTCTCCTGGCGAAAGGGGCCAGGGGGCCTGCAGCGCAGGCTGACAACAGGAAGCCGCGGCCGGGACCGGGACTGGAGCGGGGCAGGCCGCGGCTCCCACCCCCGCGCTGCAGCACAGCCCCGCGCCGGCCCCGCCGTACTGGGGGATGGGGCTGGAAGCGGGAGCTCGTCCTACCGGGCACTCAGCGCCGCTGCGGCCTGGCCCTGCGACCGAGGCAGAGGAAAGACACATCGTAGGCGGCGGGGGAGGGGTGGCACAGAGAGGGATCTGTCCTGCGAGCAAAACCCGGGGAGCCTAACCGCCGCCGCACCCTCCCCGAGCGCGCCATTTCCAGACCCCACTCCTCCCGGCGCCTCTACGAGGCCTCAATCAGCCCAGCCGGGCCCCTACCGCTCGCCGCCCATTGCTGTGCGCGCGAGAAGGCCGCGGCCCAGGGGCCCCTGACTCCGCCCGCCTCCCGCGCCCGGTCGGGGCCCGCGCACGCCCGCCTCACCCTCTGCCGCCGCCGAAGCTGCTGTAGGCCCGATCGTCGTAGGTATCGAAGTCCGCCATTTGCCGTCTCCGCTCCGAGAGGAACCAGGGTGAGCGAGGAAGGACCCCGCAATATAACTCCCCCCGCCCCGCCGCCGGGGCTGTCCGCCGCGCCGCCTGATCGCAAATCGCACGCACGCACGGTCGCGTGCGCGCACGTACGCCGCGCCGGGTCTGGGCTGGCTGGCCTTTGGCAGCCCGGCGCGTTTTGCGGCCCACGTGGTGCGGCGGCGCGTTGGCTCGGCTCCTGCCCTGGCGCTCCGGCCCATTGTGTGCTAGCTCTGAGGCTTCACCCGCGGCCGCCTCTTGCCCCTGCCCCGCCCCGCCCCGCCCCACCCTTGGACGTGAGCCTTGCCCTACCAGCCGAACCTCCTGTGGCTCCCTCCGCGCGCTGCGAAGGCCCCGCCCCGGGCTGGCCTTGGAATCTGCGCCGGGCTCGCGGTGTTTTCTGTCGCCTAGCTTCCGAACTCCAGACCTGGCAGGGACGCCAGAGGTCTCCTCCGCTTGGTGGGGGTGGGGGGTGGGGGTCCCACTCCGACACCTACACGGCCAGGGCGTCGCTTGCTAACACCAAAGAAAGGGCTACCTCCCCCAGGACGGAGACCCCGCAGAGCTGAGCATTTGTTGAGAATGCACAGGGGGCGAAGGGCCTGGAAGGGTGAGATTGGGGTCAGCATCTGAGCGTGCGAGGCAATGGGGATGCCCTTTTGAATCCTGGCTTCAAGGATCTACTTGCCGCCTGGGTATTGGTGGTGGGGAAGGGGTGTTGAGATTGGAGTATAGCTTGTCGTTGAAACTGCGAGCGAGTTGGTGCATCTTGCTTTTGGAAGAAAATTCTATCCTGACGTGAAGTCCATCTAGCAATCGCAAAGAATGGATATGCAATGAGAATTCATTACACTGGTAATTTCTCCAGTTTGTGATTGAGATTGTGGTAATATTGGATGCTCCAAACCCTTCCATGTCTAGGAAGAATTTTAGAAGAACCTCAGAATTTTTGCAACGTATGCCCAGTACTGTTATATTTAAGCACTTCTGCTACTTTATCCCAGTGCTGGCATTCACAGGGCAGCTGTTAACTCGGTGTTTGCTTTTCTGTCTCTATCTTTAAGTATTGATAATAAAACCACTTTACTATCCAATAGACCCAAAGTAATCTGGGCCCTGCCTCTTACTAGTTGTGTGACCTCAAGCAAGTTACTTAACCTCTTTAATGTCTCAATTTTATCATTTTATCATAAGAGGAGGATATCACCCACCTCCTCAGATTGTAAAGATTAAATGAGAAGCAAAGTCTCCCAGTCCAAAGTCACCCCAAGGTGAGATTCTGGAGGATAGGAACCCGTGTTGAGAGAGGTCTGTCATCCTACAGGGCCCTGCGTGAGGGAGAAGAGAGTGATTTATCATGAATGAAGTAAAAGGAGGGAAGACTAATAGGAAGGTGTATGTCTGGGGCTTTCCCAGCACCAGGCCCATCCATGGGCCATCCCCTCCCACCAGGCTTAATGGCCTTTTCTCTACTTGGGCAACACCCGGGGCCAGTCTCAGGCCACACTCTTAAGCCTTACTATCCATAGGCCCTTTCCCCTTCTGTTGGTCTCTAGCACACAACCTGTGTCCCACACAGGATCCAGAGGATTGAGACCAACCCTAGAAAGTTCCATAAATGTGCTGACTGCCTCCATGGCAAAGCTAGATGCCCAACCTCTCCTGAGATTGTCCTCATGAGCTTTGATCCTAATTTGTTCCCTAACTCCTTCCCAAGAGTGGATATCCCAGCCTTTACCAGTTCTCTTTAATCCTGGGAGTTGGGGGTGTAACCTGCTAGAGGACCCATCTCAGATGCCACTTTCTTTGAGATACCTATAGTGTAGTGAAGCTTGTGGGTTGCATTTCAAACTGCCTGTGTTTAAATCCTGGCCAACCCACTTAACTACTAGCTGTGTGACCTCAAATTGTTTAAATCTGTCAATTCTTTGCCTATAAAAGAACGATAGTCCTTGTGATAACAGTTTTCAGTATTCAGCTGTTTTTAAGTTTCGAAACGATGTTTTGTTGGTGAAATGCTGTTAACCTATCTAAAATAACCTCAAATATGAATCACTTTTATGTTGAGATTAAGATCAATGACTTAGTCAATTTATGTGAAAAGACATACTGATACTCTACAAATCTACGCAGATCTGGCCCTGCGTGAATCTCAGTAAGCATCTGTATTGAGCTACTGCAAAGCTTCTGTTACAAGCACGTGTTACTCTAGGTCAAAGGCTTTCCAAACAAGTGAATGTGAATATGAGAAAAATTAAAAATGAAATCTCTATCTATACATGATGAAAATAAAGAAGAAAAAGAGTACTGAATATGCTTTCTTTGTAACCAAAACTATAGCTTACTAGCACTAAAACTGTGCAGACTTTGTGAAGTAACTCTAAAAACTGTTTAAAAAGATCTCAAATATATCAAATAAGCGGTAAAACTATTTGAAGAAGAAGGATGCTTCAACTCTGCCCCCTTGGTCCATTTTTCACAAAGCAGTCATAGTGTTTTTTCTAAACCCTAAATCAGGACATATCATTTTCTCTGCTCCAACCCTCCCATCTTCCTGGGTAGGAGCCAGTGCCCTTACTATGGCCTAAAGGCCCTATTCTGTCCCCTCCCAGCCCCTCCTCCCTGTCTTTCCCATCACTTGTCTGCCCAGCCACCCTGTTTTCTTTCCTCTTCCTCTAGCACCCTGATCACTGCACCACTTCAAGCCTTTGCTTTGCCTGTCCCCCTGATACCCACATGGCATGCACCTTTGCTTCCTTTGGGCTTCTGCTTAAAGGAGCCTTCCTAACTGCTCTGTTCGAAATAGCAACAGCCTCCAGTTTTCTCTTTCCTGCCCTGGTGGTTCTTTCTCCCAGCACTTGTCGCACCTGACTTCTTATCTATTTATTGTTTTCTTATTTAAAGTCCATCTTCCCCGAGAGCAGGGAATTTGTTTTGCTGGCTGATGAAGTCTTGGCACCTAAAGCAGGGACTGTCTCATAGAGGAAGTTCAATAAATACTGGTTGCTTCTATGAAAACTGGGAATCAGATGAAAATATTTGGAGTTTGATTAAAACCCTTTCTTCATCATCCCATTTCCTCCCATGCCTCAACTTGGGTAGCATTGCAAAGAGCTTCCGCAGCCACTGGTGCTCTGTGGACAAAAAGACCCTGTGATTCAACAATGGCACCATTCATGTGCTTCATTAGTACTATTTTTAATAGTTTTATTGAGATATAATTCACATACCATGCCATTCACCCATTTAAAGTGTATGATTCAGTGGTTTGTAGGATACTCACAGAATTGTGCAACCATCAACACTATCAATTCAGAACATTTTCAATACCCAGAAGAAACTCTGCTCCCCTTAGCCTAACTCCCCAACCCCCATATGCTCTCCCAGAGTCAGAGACTAACTAATCTACTGTCTATAGAGTTGTCCATTCTGGACATTCCATGTAAATGGAATCATTCAATATGTGATCCTTTGTGACTGGCTTCTTTCATTCAGCATAATATTTTCAAGGTTCATCCATGCTGTATCATGTAGTACATCCATGCAGTACTTCATTCTTTGTTATTGTGAAATAAAATTCCATTGTGTGGGTATGCCGTATTTTATTTATCCATTCATCAGCTAATGGACATTTGCATTGTTTCCATTTGGGGTCAGTATGAATAATGCTGCTATGAATATTGTGTACAAGATTTTGTGTGTCTTCCCTTCTCTTGGGTATATGCCTGGAAGTGAAAATGGTGGATCATATGGTTAACTCTACGTTTAACTATTTGAGGAACTTGTGGACTGTTTTCCAAAGTGGTTGCACCATTTCACATTCTTACCAGCAGTATATAAGGGTTCCGATGTCTCCCCTTCCTCCCCAACACTTATCTTTTTGATTATGACCATCTTGTGGTTATGAAGTGGGATCTCGTTGTTGTTTTGATTTGCATTTTCCTGATGGCTAGAACATCTTTTCATGTGCTTATTGGTCATTTATATATCTTATTTGGAGAAATGTGTAATCAGAGCCATTGTTTTTAAATTGAATTATTGGTCTTGTTATTATTGAGCTGTAAGAGTTCTTTATTCTAGATACAAGACCCTTATCAGATATGATTTGCAAAAATGTTCTCCAGTTTTGTGGGGTGTTTTTTTTTCCACTTTCATTATGGTGGTGTTTGAAACATTAAAATTTTAATGATGTCCAATTTATTTTTTTTCTTTAGTTGTTTATGCTTTAAATGTCATATCTAAGAACCTGTTGCCTAAGCCAAGGAGTTTTCTTTGGGCAGAATCTAGGCTGCTTCCAGGGTGGCTGATCTAGCCTGTTCTCCCCAGAGCTCCTGTTCAAACCCAGACCCAACTTCTTGTGGCCTGGGCCAAAAGCCAGAAACTGGGGGGGGCCATAGACCAAATGTGATCCTCCTATGGAAGATCCCCCCTCCCCAAGTTCAGCCTTTCAAAGAATTGGAACATAATTCACATAAATGCCTTGATTTCTTGTTCACTTTCAAAAACTGGGAAGATCTGGTGACCCTGGGCCTTCATTTCTCCATGGTACCAGGCACTGGAGCTGAGTATGGACCCCCACCAGGCCAGCTGGGCCCCCAAGTCCTCCTGGCCTGCAGACTCTCACCACTTGCCATTGACTTAACAGTCAATCCCTTCATCTCTAAGGAATAGATATGATTATTGTTTGTATTTTACCATTTTATGAAATGTTATCAGACTTTACAATTCCTTTTGCACATGATTCCATTCCAAATTGTTTCTTACTTGTATTCGTGTGGACGTTTGTGAAACTAGTTCATTCTTTTTAGCACCTCTATGGTATTCCATTATGTGCCTAAACCTCAATTTATTTATTTTCCTATTAGGACCAATTGGTGGTTGGGTATTAAACGACCCATTTAAAAAATGGCTATAGGGGGCTTCCCTGGTGGCACAGTGGTTGAGAGTCCGCCTGCCGATGCAGGGGACACGGGTTCATGCCCCGGTCCAGGAAGATCCCACATGCCGCGGAGTGGCTGGGCCCGTGAACCATGGCCGCTGAGCCTGTGTGTCTGGAGCCTGTGCTCCGCAACGGGAGAGGCCACAA